GGTCTCAGTATTCTATCACAACAATAGAAACCCAAAGACAATGCTTCCTTTGGGAGAATTCAGCTCGGATTTCCCTTCAGCTGCTGATGACTCCATATATGCTTAATTGATTCTTTGAAATGTAGAAACCAACAAAGTTTTGAAAGTGAGGCAATGGCCAATGATGAAATATAGAGTTAAGAAAATATAGTCATAAAGAATTTGCTGTGATGTTTTACAAATGAACAGTAGGACATTTTCTACCCATGGTCAGGCGATGCTCATTTCCTGTGTAATTACATCTGCTAGAATATTAAAAAAAAGAAAAGCCTTGATTTCAAATACCAAGCACATCTACTGTATAACCCCAGAGGCAGTTAATATCTTTAATGAGGAAAAAAAGCACACAGGAAAAACAATTATGTTTCTTTTAAATCATAGTTTACAGCAAACTAATTGAATTTAAAAGTAATTAAACAAGGAAATATCAATTAGCTATCTATTGTCTCTCTTGTGTAATTATAATGTGTTATTGCTGACACTTCATAATTGTTGTTGAGCAGCTTTGTAAATCCTATCATTAGTTTTCCAGAAAAGAAACTGAAAAGTGTTAGATATTTCTCTCAGGTGCTGTTACATAAGTAGGTGGCTAGAATTCCTCTTTGTTATTGGAGGATAACTGATCAAATACATCCTGATCTACTAAAAGCATTTGAACTACTTCTTGAAAAGTAATGATCACAGTTATTCAGAAATACTTTAAAACAACCAAGTCTAAGCCAATTGATCTACCATGAGCAGCAAGACATGTGCAATAGCTCAAAAACATGTTGGTTTTTAAGGCAAACGAATCTGTATCAACCTCACTTGTCAGATAAAAAAAGAAATAGAGGACAGAAATTATCTTTTTTAATATCAAAATGATTCTCCTTTTGTTTTCCCTTTTCCTAAATGAGTTACAAGGAGGTGAAAAACATATTTGATGAATGTACTTCTTCAGAGTTCCATGTGAAGAAACTTCATGACTTTCATACTGAAGTTGTGCAGGACATGTCATCCATTTACAACATGACACTTGGCTGCCGGTGGCATTTTTCATTCCTCAATGTACTCCTTCAATCTCACTGATGAATCTTTCCCCTGGCTTAGTATAGTGATAGTTATAGCTTATTCCCTGATAGTTATAGCTTATTCCCATCCATGATAAAATTCTGCTTCACACTAACTGGCAGTATCTTCTACTTTCAGAATTTTAATATCTGTAGTTTCGTTCATATTTCTGAAATCCAGAAAAATACTATGTTATTTTAAATATCTTTGAAAATATATAACAGAGGTTCAGAAAGATATATTACCAAACCTAGTCATGAAAGCCTATAATCCCAGTCACCTAGGAGAATAAAGGTGGTACTTAACAATTTCGAGATCAGTCTATACCTCAGAATAACCACAATGCCAACCTAGAAAACATAGTGAGTCCTTATCTCAGAAGTCAATGACAGCAGCAGATGTAGCTCAATGGAAGCTTACTAATTTACAGGATAGAGAGGCACTTAGACTCAATCTCAATAAATAAATAGATGATTAATTTTTAAAATACAATTTAAAACTTGAGTATGTATCAGAGGGTATGTGTGCACTTAACTACACACACACACACACACACACACACACACACACACACACACGCACACACACTCACTTTCAGCTTCTGTAAATCTGTCCTAATACCACATGTCTATCAATTTCTCCTAGAGTTCATTTGGTGATTATATATAGAGAGTGTATATCACTTATTTAAAGACCAGTTTGGATCATAATTCCCTGGTGTTTTATCTCCTAAACTAGAAAACAGGAGGTACAATAGCTGTTAGAGGAATAATATTGGCTTATTGGAGTCTACATCACCCTATGCAATCCTAAATATCTTCTTGTCTTCTTGCCTCTGCTTCTGATTATATTTTCATGCAAATTTGAGCTAGATTCCTTCCTGAGATCTTCAACCCAGTGGTGGTAATTTATCTGTGGTAATTTATCACCTAGTTTCTGTTATTTGGCTTGTTTGGTATGATCCACTCACTGGTGAGTTCATAAAAAGCTAGATTTTAGGTTTGCTCTTGCCATCACACTAAGCTGGTGGATAACTAACCGTCCCTTCTAAACAAAAACATCTTTGAAATTTTTTTTTTCTATCAGATTGCCTTTGTACATGCTACCTACCCACACAGTGATTCACCATGTTTAGGGGAAAAGGAGAAGGGAAGTTCAGGGTTACTTAAGTGACCTATGTATTCAGCAATTTCAGATCCTTCCCAATTGTGGGCTACTGTGATTTCTCAGGTGTTTTGTTTTGTTTTGTTTTGTTTTGTTTTGAAATTCCATTAAAGGATTTTAGTTTCCTAGAACTTTCCTTGCATTCCTTTTCGGTAGAGCACTTGATTCACTGTCAGTGCTGTCTATTAGATAAAGCTGTAGATAATCTCAGGCAGACAGACATCTTATGAAAATGGTTTAAAAGAAAAGCTAAAAGAACTCGATTAGGATTATTAAATTACTTTTGTTTTACCTTTGGATACTATTCAATTTTTCCCAGATCAGGCCTCCATTATCCAAAGGTAAAATGAATGATCCCACCTAGCAAACTAAAACTAAATTGGTGCACCAAAACTGGCTAATGACTCTGACTTTCCACTTATTACACCTCAAAAGAACATCTGTACCCTTAAATAATTAGTACAGAAATCAAAATATAGCAGAATATTATGTAAATTTGGATAAGTATCTGAATGTACATTCTGATAGCAAGCAGAACTCATAAGCAATGTGGAAAATAAGGTGAGTTCACTCACATAAAATCTCTCTGTCATACCTAAAGTCATGTCTTGGTTGAAGTAACTATTTTTAGGCTGTGACTTCCAGCAGGCCTGTGTTCTAGTATATTTGACAGGAATAGACTTCTAAATAATTGTAAGTCATAAATTAATAATCAACTGGCTTGTGCACTTTTTATAAACTAGATAGGGGTTATGAGACTGTAGGAGAAAATCTTCTAGCATTGGCAGTCCAATCCAAGACCTGTGGGTTAGACTGGTGTACCTGAAGAATTATAGTAACAAGTCCTGAAAACTAAGAAAGGGCATCTTTGCTACCAGATTTTTGAAGCAAGACACAGCACTAAACATTCACACTTGAGGTTTATTGTTTCCACCTGTAACTACTTCTGGCCCTGGTACTTGGCAGAAATTATAATTCCTGGCTTAAAACAGAAGCAATAGCAGACAGACTCAGGTAGCAGCAGGCAGTACCTGATAGTATTACAGCTCTCCAACAGACCTTGGGTGCCTAGCCATTGCAGCAAGTGCTGTAGCTCCCAAACCTAAGTATCAGATTCTACCAGTCTGTGGCTAGTGCCACAGCTGTAGACCTAGGGTGTTTGGAACCTTTGGTCCTTAAGGCTTGCCAGTTTCCTGGAACGCTTGCAGCAACCAGGATTCAGAGTTTCTTATCATCAGGTCTTCAGAACCCTCAATATCCTGTTGTCTTCCTTACTTCTGCTTCCAGTTATTTCTGCTGCCACTACTCTCTGAAAGGATCCCATTGCCCTGTCGTCACTACAGCTGCTACACAAGTGGCTGCTCCCATCAGAAAGCTAGAGTTTGACTATGCTGTCTTCCTGCTGCCCATTCATCCCACTCTACCAACAAACAATAAAGTCCAAAGAAGACAAACAAAACAAAATAACCAAAACCACCTCTACAGAGAACTCTTGTATTTGGCCTTAAATTGCAACACCATAAAGATAGTAGCTCTCTTCATATGACTGCAAAAGTGAAATAAACTGATATTTATTCAAATGATGTACTGTATAAAAACCAATCACAAGACTTCCACTGGGTTTAGAGCAGGTGCTTCTCTAGCCTTGGTGAGAATGGCTAAAGGGTGTTTACCAAATTTTGTCCTTAGAGTAGTAGTTTTGAAGGCCTGTGCCAACTCTCAGGAGCATGCCTGCAGCCCTGGCTGCATGACTGCACATGTCTTCTCAATGATGCCACAGTATTCTCCCTTTCTCCCTGGGATTGTAATGTGTCCAAACAGGTACTCTGTCATAAAGTATTCTGGCTGATGGTTCTAGACTCAAGGTAGCTAGGATACAGAGGGAAAAGTCTAATAGCTGTGAACCAGGGACTCAATATCTTATTTAAAAGAAAGATAAATCTGTAAGGGGAAGCTTACAATAAAAGCTTAACAAGACTCATTTAAGTACTCAACAATGATTACCTAATATTTTCTATCTCACTCTCAAAGGGGAAGATGGGTCTCTTCTAATCTTGCCCAAACAAACCCCAGAAAAACATTGATAGTATTTACCACATCTTCATTATTCCCATAATGTAGCCATTATGTTTCATACATGAAAACTTGTTGGATATTTTGAAGTATCTGGGTTGCCGTGGTTGTGGTGTAGCTATACACGTTTTATCATCAAGAAAGCATTGCCCTTAGAGTTTCTGTTCCTAATCATGTGTCTTTTAGACACACCCTAACCGAACTGCTGACTGCTTAGTCTCTCTTCGACAGACTTCCACACAGTCTTTAGTTTCTACCTGGTCTTCAGCCTCAACCTAAATTCTAATGATGGGCACAGAGATACTGGCCACAAAGTCAATGAAAGATAATTCCAGATTGTTATCAAGTTTCAAAGAAATATGTTTTCACTTGAATCATTGTGTTTTCTTACCCCATTACTTCAATCACAGCCTTTCTAGGCTACTCAGGAATATAACAGAGGCCATCTTTACGGCACAGGTGTCTTCAAGATGGAGACACATTGAGTCCTTGTCACCACAACCGCCATGCTATTTGCGGTTACCATTCAGGTAACCATGGCATCCATGTCAGGCTCCACTAGCCATTGGCTCTCGGAGATAATGCCCTCTTTGCAGCTCAGCTCAACATTCTGAAGAAGGAAGCGTTGCCAGCGTCCTCGAGATGGCCCTGCTGAGCATGCGCAATCGGCCCACGCAATCGGCCCAGTGGCTTGCGCAGGGGCAGTGACCCACTTCCGGTCTCCAAGGCGGGACCCAGAGCACACGCCATGTCTTACTTCAGCCACCCTAAGTACAAGACCGGGGATCTGGTGTTTGCCAAGTTGAAGGGCTATGCCCACTGGCCGGCGAGGATCGAGCAGGTGGCTGAGCCCAACCGCTACCAGGTCTTCTTCTTCGGGACCCACGAGACGGCCCTGCTAGGCCCCAAGCACCTGTTCCCCTACGAGGAGTCCAAGGAGAGGTTCGGCAAGCCCAACAAGAGGCGCGGCTTCAGCGAGGGGCTGTGGGAGATTGAGCATGACCCAATGGTCGATGCCTCCCCTTCCCTGTGCTCAGAGGAGGAGCAGGGCTGCGACCAGGGGCCCGGGCAGGGGGAGGAGCCGGAGCCAGGGCTGGAGCCTGAGCCAGAGTCCCTCCCTGAGCTGGAGCCAGAGCCTGGGCCCGAGACCGAGGCTGAGCTGGAGCCAGAGCCACAGCCTGCCTATGGCCTGCTGGACGCCCTGGAGGAAGAGCCGGGCCCTACGGAGGAGGCTGAGCCAGATCAGCAGGCCGAGCAGGTGCGAGAGCAGCATGAGGAGGCCGAGCAGCCCGGGAGTCTGAAAAGGAGTGCGGGGGAAGAGCCACATGAGGCCCCCAAACGGCCCAGGGAGGCGGCGCCTGGCCCGCTGGAGGTGGAGCCGACCGGAGAGCGCGAGGCTGAGGCCTGTCCTATCATTGAAGAGCCTGACCAACTCCAGGAGCAGCAACCTCCCCTGGAGGAAGGAGCCACAGAGGAGGAGGTGGAGGCCCTGATTGGTGGAGAAATTGAAGGCCTGTAGTCACGGTGTCTATAGAAGAGCCCTCTTCCCCATCCTGGTGCCACCTGACTGTGGCTGGAGAAACCCACTAGGACCCACTCCACACCCCAGCTTGCCTCACTTTCATCTACTCACCTTTTCCAAGCCCGAATTCCTGACATGGGTCAGGATACCTGACATCAACTTCGTGGCTTCAGTCGAGTCGCGGCCCCCTTCCCTCCCTGAACTCTTAAGGGAATTTTGGATCTCTGTCTGGGTACCAGGAGTGAAGGAGGTGTAAGACAAAGAGCAGACACTACTTTCAAAGGTCTGGGAGGGGCGATCTGTAAATGGGTGGAGTTGGTCCTGTGGGAGCATGAGCATTGTCTCCCTGAGCTCCTGCCTCCTCCTGTAGCTCTATTCCCATTTTGATAGGTTTGGGGAAAGTGAAACTGGGGGGAGGAAGTCCCAGTAAAAATTTCTCTTGTCCCAGGCAGTTTAGAGGTTGGCTTTCTTTGTTTTGTTTTTCATTAAAACATTTGGGGCTCCCAAATTGTAAGATCTGAATATGTTGCCTTCCATTTTGTCACCAGAAGTGGTGAGGCATCTTTTCCATATCTCAAGGACCATTGATGGATGCCCTTGGGGAGACCTCTGCTGCCCTTTCAGTCTACCTTGGAACCCCAAGGCCTTCAGTCATGTGTATCACTAGGACATAACACTTTAGGAATCACCTTTATTTTAAGAGGAATTTTATTTTATTTAGGAAAACCTTTGGTTGTACCTGTGCCTAGTTTTCCTGAGGCCAATCTCATTTTAATATGAATTAGGAATGTTCCTTTTGTTTGGAATTTTATGACCTTCCTATTGTTAGGGCTTTTCTTTCTTTAAGTTGTTATTTCCATCTACACATTACCACCTGGGCCCCTAAGTGTTGTCACCTACAGCAAAATGTTATGTAGTGAGAAGTTGAGTGCCCCTTCCCAACATCTGTCTCTCTGTACCTGAACCCTTTTGGCCCTGACCTTTTCCCTTGGGCTCTAATGAAAAAACTTTTATCTATACTTTTGGAGATTTAGGTCTGAGAACTGTAGACTATTTCAGTTCTAGGAAATAAAACCATTAATGACTTTAAAACAAATCTTCTCAGGCCTGTTCCTTTAGTGTCCAAAAGAATGGAGTTATAAATGTGTTGCTCCTTTTGTAGCACTTAAAGACCTACACAAGAGGATTTTCTTGGAGAAACCTTTGCTTCTTGTTGTCATCACCTTTCACTCCATTAACATAGTCACTGGCATTCTTTCAAGTGAGTGGACAAAGATAAAAAGTTTTAATGATGACAAACTGCACATTTCTTTCCTAATCTAAATGCTTGGTAAGGATTTTTGGTTTGGAGAGCATGAGTGAAAGGATTGATGTGTTTCGTTTACTTACGTTTACCCCCCCACTTTTCCAATTAACACTATTTCCTTTAACACCTTTGTCATGAAAGTACAGTTGTTTTGTAGTCCCAATGTAAAAAATATGTAGTAAAAAATTACACTATTTTAGGCCTTTTGGTGACTTTGTACAAATATATGACAGAAATTTAAATAATCTTAGTCACATGTTGGGGGTCCCAAGTTCTGCATGAAGGATTGAGAGATCATTAAATATTGGAGGCCACCTCAGAGACCAATTCTTAACAAATCACAAGTGACTAATCCTGTATTCCATACTAGTAAAGTTACTTGAGCATTGTCAACTATGTAAGTTAGGTCATTGTTTTACAATTAATGATACTGTAGTAATAGAGGAAATTTACTGCTTACTGAGTTACTAGCATGTACCCTGAAGTATGACCTTATTCAGCTTTTGTATAATCAGCCAAGGCAGCTGTTATTAATCAGTGTTTCCTCTAAAAGAACTCTCTTTCAAAGGTTTCCTGCTTTCCATTGAACTTTTGGGACTCAAACACAGATTTCTAAAACTTAGATATTTTCATCTGAATTGTGCCTCCAAAAGCCACTATGAATTCAAAAGTTAATAAAGTAGCTATTCTAGCAATGAGTAATCAAGACAGTAGCTAATTTCTAAAGTGTGCCTCTACTTTTTGTACATAATGTCTTTATAATGCAGCCATCCAATTAGACAGCTTCTATTATCTCTATTTTAGAGCTAAGGGAATTGAGACTCAGAGACATTAAGTAATTTTCCCAGTGGCAGACAATTAGTAAGTGGTAAACCAAGATTCAGACACAGGATTTCTCTCATTCTAAACCATAGGTGCTTTGTTCCATTTTATTATTTTCTATTTTATAAAACTTCCTATTCAGTTGAGAGCTTTTACTATCTTCTGCTTTGAAGTGAACATTTAGAAATTTGTGAGGGAAAAAATAGATTAACAAACATTGCTTATAGGTGTTTAAAGTCATCTAGGGACATCACAATTGTTTTGTATATAAATGACATGGTAAAGTGATGAGGACAATTGCACATTCAGTACTTTTCAAGATGCCAAAGACTATAGAAGCTTTGAATATGCCAGAGGCAAGCATAAGCTGTTGATAATGTTTTTGTGGAGGCATGTTGTCTGAAATGATTCAATAACCTGAAAGAAGGAAAATGAGTTTACTAGCATTTGTGCCCCTTTTTGCGTTGTTTCTTTCCTCTTTTGTGTTTCTATTGTTGGGGATAGAAAAGGGTCTCATGAGAAGTGGTGCTTTCCTACCTTCTTCTTAACTGTAATATTGTAGGGAAAATGATAATATAACTGCTAGTATAGTTAAAGAGTAATGCCCCCATTTTTAAAACACAGTTATAACCCAATACAGAACAGATAAAATGAGGTGGAGGAATCTGTGCTCTCAAACCTATTATCAAAACAATAGAAACCATTATGTGCTATGGTGACCAATAGATGTCTTTGTCTTTAGCTGAAACTCAAGCTGTTTAAAATTCCAGGAATCACAATGTTGCTTTTGTTTTTCTCTGAACAGTGTATGCCCCCGTGACAGAATTACAGATAAATGATTACTTATCTCCTGAACAAAGCTGGCTGCTTGAGCTTTCACTGAAGCCATGTTGCACTGTTCAACCATACTCAAGCTTCTTCTGATGGCTGTGTTTCCAAAACCCCAAGCAAAGTTGTGCTTAACAGTGCTACTGCTTCAAAGACATGCTGGACGTACCGGATTCTGTAGTAATTTCAAAGTATTCCATATTTCACACAAGCATCACTTTGGTAGAGGACTAATACTCCACTGAGACTGGCAAGTTGTGTTGCTTAATTTTAGTCAGGATTTAGCTATCACCTGCTCTGCAAATTTGAATCCAAAGTTTCAGCTTTTCATTGTGGTACATAGCTCCATTGCACTTTTAAAAAATACACCAAGTATTAGGACACACAAGATATCTTCAGTTTCCTTCAGTGTCAACATTTGCCATAAAAAACCTTCTGCCCTCATTTTTTGCTTTCATAGCTCCTTGTATTTAAAAAGAAGTTCTCCATCTTCTCAGCCTGGTCAGCCACTCAAGCTAAGATCCACCCCGTGTCTGTTCCCACCACTGTGTGCTCACACTGATTATAGCATAATTTCCTATGGAACTGATTCAACTAAAATGTACTAGTGCTTTAACCATACACACAAGCATGCTACAATAAGTACACAATAGTTACTTTATAAATGTTGGAAGGTCCGCTATCAAATACTTATTGTGATCATGGTGATGAAGTAACAGCTGTGATGTGATGTTGGACATACTCAGACAGAAATCAGAGTGAAGGTATAGTTGCCTGTAATGACAAAAGCTGCTTGGCTGGAGAATTTCCGTGTCCATGTAAGTAGCTGGCTATTTTCTTATGGTGACTTGAAAACTTGATTTAGCAGTTCTCAATGACATGAAGAAATTGGTCAATGTCAAAGCAAAAGTTGCTTCTTCCCCCCCCCCCTTCTTAACCAGACTCTGTAATATTTGAGATATTTGTCTCAATTAGGCCACAGGTAAACACTGTCTATAGTGCACAGGTCCTTGTGTGGGAAGGAGGTATTCTGACAGTTTTCAGACATGAGACACAAAACTGACCATTTCATAAAAACTTTACAATAGTGGACATGAGTGTGCCAGGGGAATCTGCATCAGGATTTGTCTCAAGCTCTTGGTCTGGTCCACATGTCCCTATAAACCCTCTCAGAGTTTAATGTACTTAAAGGAATGGAATCTGTTCTCCTAAATGTGGCTGCTTCCCAGTCTCCCTTGCCTACTATCTTGCCTCACCTATAGTTCTCTGATCCACTTCTGGTGAACAAACTGATCACAGTAGTAGTCTTTGGAATCATGGAGCTATCCTAACATGACTTTCTATAAAGAGTCAGCAGGGCATTTTCTCCTTGGAGTCTGACCAGAGTGGTAGTTACTTTTCCCCTGCTGTGACCAAATACTTGATAAGAAACAACTCAGAGGAAGAAAGGCTTATTTGGCTCGAGGGATACAGTCTACCATGCTGAGGAGGTGTGTTGGACAGCTATGGCAGGATAAACTTGCTGACCTCTGGTCGGATGGGGAGTCAGAGAAGGGATAGTCATCACATTTTCTCCTCCGTTATTCAGTCCAGGAATCCAGCTGGTGGAGGGAGGGGAGGGGCCATCTACACTCAGAACAGAACTTCTTCCTGCCATCCCCAGTTTAAAATGTTCCCAGCTAATTACCTAAGTGTTTCTTAATTTCTCTCTCTATTTTATTTATTTATTTATTTTGGTTTTTTTGAGACAGGGTTTCTCTGTATGACTTTGGAGTCTGTCCTGGAACTCGCTCTGTAGATCAGGCTGGCCTCAAACTCATAGAGAGCCACCTGCCTCTGACTCCAGAATGTTGAGATTAAAGACACGTATCCCCAATGCCCAGCTCCTTGTTTCTCCTACGAAAGTTTTCCTTCCGTAGCTTCCTCAGAATTTCATAGCACTCCAATAAGTTACCATAAAACCACAGGTTTTCCTTAATGGTGTCAACTCTACTCTCGCATAAATACCCCTTTTATTGTTTTAATCAGCCACTGAACTGACTATCCCATGTAGACAGAAAC